GCAAAGACATTGTCATTAAGGCGGCCGACAAAGGCGGCGCAGTTGTTGTTTGGCATCCATACCCACATAAGAGGTAGGCGAGGGAACACTGAGATTTTACAGAAAAAAGTTAATTCATGCTAACAAAGAGTAGCACTAAACAGTTCCCTGTGTTGAATTACGTCATTAGCCAGATCGTTCGGAGTGCATTGTACTGTCTAAAATAAAGAAAAGAAAAGATAGTTTTAACATAACGTCTTCTTCGACTTTTACAGCAATAATTGTGTCAGGCCCTATTTTTTGACCTCGCGTACCCGTGACTAGCATTCCTTTGAAATAACTGTATATGAAACGTTTACGTGCTGAAATATTGTTCTGGTTGCCAGACGACAGTAGATGGATCGATAAATACAAAGCAATGTTATGATATTTTTGCTCAATTAGACAAAGTAGAAAGACCTTTAGAATAAGAAAATAATAATCTTAAAATATACCTGCTTGAGAGATATATATCTCCGGATCAATTTCACTGACCATATTCTCTTGGGCCTTCAGCAAACTAGATGTAAAAGATAATATTATAAATGGCTTTTCCTTTGATTAAGAACAAAAACCAAAGTTGTACTTTTAATCAAACTATTTAAGTCGGCAGATGTAAATCCCTCATATTCGCGAAACCCTATGATGATTTCCATGATTTTCTTTATAAGATTTGTGAGGAGAGAATATACTTACGCAGCCAGCAGCATGTCGAACTGTTCTGTTGTTGTCTGTACTCGTTCACAAATGTTTCTCAGTTGTGCAGCTAGCTGGTTCAAGATGTGTGACTTGTCACGAAGCCCTTCGATCTCGTCTGACTTCTTAAGTGCGACGCTTTCCAATGTCTTCATGTTATTCGTTAGAGCGGCCTCCTCTCTCCCACTTAACTGCTTTTTGCAGTCTCGGCGGAGCTCTCTTACTTGATCTGCGAGGAGACTTTTCCAGCAATCTACTTTGTATTGGCTTATCGGGAATATTTCCTTAAACGGTCTCTCAAACTAAAGACACGAATCACTGCTCCAGCAGAACTTCCCACGCCAGCTGCCACTGCTCCACCAGCAAAAAGCACTCCAAAAGTGCCTACGAGAGCCCCAAGAAAACTAAAGCGAGAAAGTCTTAATCATGTCTGAGAACTTAAAACAAGATGCTTCGGCTATAAAACTCAAATCATAATTAAGAATGAGATATTTTTATAGAGATCCTTGTTTTCTAACCCCCGACATAAGCTGATGTAAAATAATATTAACGTTTACATTGCAATTCAAGATCATTCCAGAATCAAGTAAAGGAAATTTTTTCTCGCGCGCAGCTTGCCAATTTCGGAAAACATCCACTTATCTTTGTACTGAGTACTTTTAGGTTTTAACGTTCGATAAAAGAAACTTCCTCTTTTCAACTTTCGGTGGTCGAAAACGGGAAGACCTTTCCTTAGCTGCTTCATCCATGTCTCAAAATTGTAAATGAGGACGCTGAGCCGAAGTTTTGAAAAACCACAACACCCGTCAGGACACTGACTACCAACTATGCACATGCGATAATGAAACAAAAGAATAAAAAACTGACCATTTACGTGGTATTTCTGTTTTTGTGTTTATTGTTAATAAATTAGGTCTTTTTTGAGAAGCCAATTCATGAACCCGAGCTTCGTGTTTCATCAGGATTTCCAGAAGGCCTCGTGCTTTCATCAGTCTTCTCGTGTTTGGGAACCCTGATGAAACACTCGCCCTCGTTTATGAAATATTACATATTACACTGTAATTTCTCCATGCGAAGCAAAAAATTACAGTGATAAACTGACAAAACTCTGCACACTGGTGCACTTGCTAAGCTTTAGGTATCCGAGGTGAAATTTGAAAGATTTACTCACTTGATGAAGAGGATGTAAATCGACACCCTGGAATACAGCCCAAATTTAGAACATCCAGGATATAGGAGTCTATATCCAGAAACACACCCTAATTTCGTGAGATACATGGCAAATTCGCCGGAAAAAGGTCGCGCTAGGGGCGGCTCATGCTAAAGTGAATATAAAGAAAAAGGACTTGACGCGTAACTGGAAATGTTTGATTCTAACTCACCGGCAGTAACTGCGATGACAGGACCTACGGTAGCTGCTGCACCAACCAAGGCTGCAAAAGTGAACTTGTTCTTGAGGACATAATCAAAGTCGCAATACCACTTGTATTTGACTTCAGGTAAATCTTGACTTGCAAGCTGAGGAGGTGCTTGAGACGGAGGTATATTGACAGACTGTAACTTGCGGAATTGCATGTTTTTCTTCCATTCTTGGAGGGTAGCACGAGTTATATCTCTTTTGTGATTCAAATGGTTTTGGACCTCTCTATTGACTTCGTCGAGAAAGTGTTTAACAGCCTCTTCTTCTGATGTGCCTTTGACCAATTCGTCTTCAATCTCTTTTAATAACAGTTGGACTGCGTCGTCGGTTAAAATTTCTAGGTCCTCATCCTTACTCTTGATGTCATCAAGAGCTTTTTGTAGCTTCACGCTGTCTTCTATTAACCAAACCAACTCTGTTTGCAGACAAGTTAGCTTTTCACTCTTTCTGGTTTCAATGACAGTTTTCAGCTTTTCGCAGACCTTCCTGGAATGCAAAGCTACAGATTTTGCCTGTTGTGTTAGTGACTCTCTCTTCAACTCTGTTGCACTCGTGGCCAGTTTGTTCTCTAACTGATGAAATATATCCTGAAAATAAGGGGGAGAAATCCATTCGCGTTCCTTTTAGAATTTCATTGTAGAATTATGATAGCTTACCATCCTTACTTATCTCTGGCAATAGAGAAAATACGCGTTCTTACTTGTATTTCGTTTTCTGTTCGTGGCTATTTTGTTACCAACTTGTGGTGCAAATAAGGAAAATTCAGAAAAGAATGAAAAAAAATAATGTCATCAGAGGTAAGAATGTCTTGAAGTTTTGATAGGTGTGTCTTGCCTCTCCATGTTCAAACTTTATAGCTGAAGTGATTGCATTACTCTTAAATCGGAAATTTAAGTAAGAATCAGGATGCATGGACTTAGAACTTACATCAGGATTTTCAAAGTTTTTGACGTTCACAAAGTAAGCTTTGCCTTTCCCTTGAAGCACTTCACAGAACTCCTTAATGTAATCATTGGCAAGTTTTACCACATTGCGGACGCTCTCGTCTCCTGCTTCTTGCGCTTTTCTTATGCATTCGTCCCATTTGGTGAAGACTCCAAAAGTAAATTGGCAGCCAACATTTTTCACCAGGTTAATGAGCTATAGGAGCATCAAAATAAAAACAGTTCTCAAATTAGAAAAATAGACATCGAAATGTGAGAAATGTGAAGGGGCATAGACAACATTTTCCTAAAGAGGATCACTGCTGCCGTGTTTGGTATTTGGAGGCATTTCAGGTTGTTTCTAAATACCACTGTGGCTTATTTCCATATGTAACAATATGACGTTGCTTGAAAAAGGGGAGACGAATTTTCCCATGTACCACAGAGCCCGCCTCGTCCTAGGGTAATGTTTTTTGTGCTCTAAGATTATAGAGCTAGGTGCCTTCTCATAATCATATATTATCTGCAAATATTTCAAGTTTATAAAGTTATTCTTTTTTGACTTAACAATGAAACACGAGCTTGCATTATCTTGAAGCTTTAATTTTGCGGCATGGCGGAAAGGAGTAAAGAGAAAACAAAGCAATGGAAAAGGAAGGAACTGAAAGCGTAGGCCTAGTGGACAGAAGTCCTCATTTAAAGCCTACGCGGCAAGAACACCAGGTGACAGACACAAAAATGGACTTGTTATACCATTTTCTTACTTTTTCCGGTGATAGAATTGTATGAAGTCTTAGAGAGTATTCCTAGTTTGAAGGGGAACAGGCTTTCATGTCTATGATTCGATCATAATTGAGACACTTCCGACAGACACTTCCCGGATAAGCATTATGTACGTCGGGAAAGAGGGTGTCAGTAACTAGCAGTTTCCATGGAGCGGAGTTTCAATATTTGGTTACAATACCATCAACATAATTGAAAACAGTAGATTCTGTATACAGAGGAAATATGTGCAGTTTACTCACTCTCCCTCTTGACGGCGCCATGGAATCCATTACGGCTACAACTACGTCTGCCTTTTTGCACGTCTGGGTGACAAGCTCCATGTCTTCATCACTCTCTCCAAAGCCGGGTGTGTCACACAAGATAACGTTTCGTGGTAACTTTTTGCGTTTGTTCGCAGGCCAATTTACCTGTATAATGGTCCTTAGACCTATTCCCTTCTCTTTCCGTAGCTGTTCATTTTTTTAACCACCCATTTTATTCAAGAGATTACTTACAGTCTTGTCGTCAGTTCCCTCCGAGAGAATCTCTTTGCGTCCATTTTCGCCAATGATTTCAATACTCCACTCGCTGTTCTCAGTGTTGCAAACTCTAAAGGAACACATGGTTGTTTGCATGAATCCAACAGGCAGACGACGTTCGCCGAGTAGAGCGTTTATAAGGGATGATTTGCCACTACCGGTTGTTCCAACAAATTGAATGAGTATATCTTTCGAGGCTTCCTTTTCCCGAACATTCTTCAAATCATCCATTACTTTGTTGAGGCTTTGGGATAATTGGCTCAATTCATCATATTCCTTAAGCGTTGCTCCCTCAACACTTAGTCTCTCCTCGTAATCCTTCAAAATATAAGCAATTTTTTCTGTATCTTCTTGTAGCGGTTTTGTTA